AAGACAAAAAATATACTTAAAAATTATTAAAATTAAACTATTTAAATATATAATAATATTATTACAAATAAAATTAAAATATATAAAATAAAAATAAAATGATTAAATAATTTAAAAAATAAAAGAATAAAATATCATTAATATTATTTAAATAAATTATTAAAAATATAAAATATAAAATAAAATTATAATTACAATTATATCAATACTCTCTCAAATAATATGAGCACCATAAAATTTCTCATTTTACTTTTAATGTAAAAAAATATATGACAAAAGGTGAATAATTAGATAAATTATATAATAAAAATTTATTAAACTGCATACAACTACACAAAACGTAACTGCATATAATCCAAATCCCTTTGTACACGTATAACATTTTTCCCATCCACTCATCAATGGCTGAATATTTTCAATGCAAAATTACTTTTCTCAATACCAGATAAAATTTGATTTCCACATGTTATGTGCAATTATATGGACTCAATCCAATAAAAAAGATAAACCTAACCCATTTTTCAATGACTAACGAAAAGCGGGACTATAACTGAAAGACAAAGTTTCTGAGCTTAGGACCAAATCCCAAATAGAAGAAAGAATTTGAAAAGTTGATGAGATGATGCAATGTGAAACTTCATTTTGGGTTCTCAAACCCTGTAAGCTGGGCTCGTAATTTCATTTCAATTCATGGAAACATTATTACAAGTCTTTTCTCACATCAATTTTGATTGATTACAGTTAAGCTTCTTAAACGACATTCGTTTTGGTTTCGCACGCTTTGGCAATCTGAATCTCGAAGTCTCACAGATTCGGACATTTCAGCACGTGTGATAGACGACAAGAACCTTCTCGCTCCGAGTCGCAACTCGAAATGCGGTCTTCACGTTCTGGACCTCATCGAGTGCGGTTCGCTGGAACCGGACCGAAGCTTCTACAACGCGCTGCTAAAGAGGTGCACGCAGTTGGGGAAGCTGAGAGAAGGAAAGTTAGTGCATTGCCACGTTCTCAATTCCCACTTCAGAAATGACCTCGTTATTTGCAACTCGCTTCTCTTCATGTACGCCAGCTGTGGCAGTTTCCAAGATGCACGCCGCATGTTCGACGAAATGCCGCGCAAGGATATGGTCACTTGGACCTCCATGATCACTGCCTATGCTCAGAATGACCTCGCCGATGACGCGCTCGTGCTGTTTCCTCTGATGCTTCGTGATGGGGCCAGGCCCAATGAGTTCACTTTGTCCAGTTTGGTCAAGAGTTGTGGGTTTATGGGAAGCTATAACGATGGGAGGCAGATTCATGGTTGTAGTTGGAAGTATGGGTGTGAGTCTAATGTGTTTGTGGGGAGTTCCCTTGTGGATATGTATGCCAGGTGTGGCTACTTAGGGGAGGCAAGGTTGGTTTTTGATGAGTTGGGGTGTAAGAATGAGGTTTCTTGGAATGCTTTGATTGCTGGGTATGCTAGGAAGGGTAAAGGAGAGGAGGCTTTGGCTCTCTTTGTGAGGATGCAAAGGGAAGGTTATAGGCCGACAGAGTTCACGTATTCGGCGCTTTTTTGTGCTTGTTCAAGTATGGGGTGTTTGGAGCAAGGAAAATGGCTTCATGCCCATTTGATGAAATCGGCTAGGAAGTTGGTTGGTTATGTGGGGAACACGCTGCTTCACATGTATGCTAAGTCGGGTAGCATTCGGGATGCGAAGAAGGTTTTTGACAAGTTGGTGAAGGTTGATGTTGTTTCTTGCAATTCAATGCTGATAGGGTATGCACAGCATGGGCTTGGAAGGGAAGCTGTGCAGCAATTTGAAGAAATGATAAGGGTTGGGATTGAACCTAATGATATAACATTTCTTGCTGTTCTTACTGCTTGTAGCCATGCTAGGCTTTTGGATGAGGGTAGACATTATTTTGGGTTGATGAGAAAGTATAATATTGAACCAAAAGTCTCACATTATGCTACGATTGTTGATCTTCTTGGTCGAGCTGGTCTTCTTGATCAAGCAAAGCGTTTCATAGAAGAAATGCCTATTGAGCCTAATGTAGCTAGCTGGGGTGCTTTGCTTGGTGCTTCTAAGATGCATAAAAATACGGAAATGGGTGCTTATGCTGCTCAGCGCGTTTTTGAGCTTGATCCTTCTTATCCAGGGACGCATACATTGCTTGCAAATATTTATGCCTCTGCTGGGAGGTGGGAGGATGCTGCAAAAGTCAGAAAGATAATGAAAGAAAGTGGATTGAAGAAGGAGCCAGCATGTAGTTGGGTTGAGATCGAAAATTCTGTCCACGTGTTTGTGGCAAATGACATTGCTCATCCACAGAAAGATAAGATCCATAAAATGTGGGAGAAGCTAAATCAGAAAATTAAGGAGATTGGTTATGTTCCTGACACTAGTCATGTTCTTTTGTTCGTAGATCAACAAGAGAAGGAATTAAATTTGCAGTATCATAGTGAGAAGCTGGCTCTTGCATTTGCCCTTTTGAATACTCCTTCTGGATCCGCTATACGCATTATGAAGAATATTAGGGTTTGCGGTGATTGCCACTCAGCAATAAAATATGTGTCATTGGTGGTGAAGAGGGAAATCATAGTGAGAGACACCAATCGGTTTCATCACTTTCGTGATGGCTTATGCTCGTGTGGGGACTACTGGTAGCTAATTATTATCAATATCACCTAATCACAGGTATCATGGGATACATTTAAGTTTTGTTTTTCTTCTTTTTTTTCCAAATTTATCACCCAACCACGCTGCTTCTGGTTCAGACGTTCAGTTGATTTTGCAAATTCCCTTCTTATTATGGTGTGTGATAGTCTTCAATTGCATGAAGGTTGTGTCTAAAAGGTTAAAGGAAATGCAAGTTTTGACCGTGTCTATGTTTATAATTCATTTGAAACATAAATGTATGGGCTAGTGAGACATACCTGACTTCTTTTAGGTAGAAGATGAGGCTGTAACATGTATTTTTAATTAATTTTTGGAGATACATTTAAAATTCTTATTTTACCCATTGTATACTTGATTGTGCTAACTCTTATACGAGCCTGAAAAGTTTTCCATTTTTCCCTTCTGATTTGAATTAATTTCATTCAATAACCTTTGTTTACAATTTTTCCCATTGTTTCTCAGTACTTGTTGCCATATGGTGAAATACTAGAGATAATAATCTATATAAACTTTCTTGGTTAGTGTATAAGTTTTCTAGTTACTTGTTATGCTTTCCATATGCATGGACTTGGAGATCGAACTCAGATTTTAACCGACGTGGTTATGTGGCCACCGGACTAATTATGTATTTTTATTTCCAGTCCCTAAACAGACCGGAAAGATGGATAACTGAATATTTATATGGTCACTGGAAACCATAATCCACAATTCAATCCAAACTTCCTCTGCCTCTTAAAAATAAAATATTTCATGATAAAAGTAGTTAAATCCTTTGTAGTCCACCTTTAATTTGTGAATACTGAATTTCTTGGGATAAACTTCTTTTAATTTGTGAATACTGAATTTCTTGGGATAAACTTCTTTAGAAAGACTTTTAGAAGAGAAAAATGATAAGAAAAATCAAAAAAAGTTTTTTTTGCAAGATAAAACTAGTTTATGCATGTATTAAAATAAGATTTTAGAGAAGCTAATTGTTAAAAAAACCTTAGATATCATCTTATTTTGATATTATCTTAATTCTTATCTTGATACTAAAATATAGTATGTAAAGATAATATCTTAGAGAGTATAAAAAATCATATCTTTAATGTGCATCTAGTGTGCATTGACACACATGATTTTAGTCAATTATTCTTCTCTATTCAGTGATTCTTAATATTTCTTAATATGGTATCAAGAACTTAATAGTGGTTCACTTTTGAAACCTTCTTTTGTCCAGTAGACTCAAATTCTCCAAAGAAATTTTTTTTTTTTGCGATCCGTGTTAATTTCCATTTTTCTTCCATTTGGTGAGAACCCTACTCCAACAATATTTTTGATGATCGTTGTTGTTGTAGCTGCCATGTATGCACTTTTCTCTCTCCTATTTTTGTAGATACCATGTCTATAGTAGGACCCCTTTCGTCTACCAAGCTAGACTTGACAATTTCCTATAATATTCCACTCTCTATTGAGAAATTAGACGGAACAAATTATTCCACTTGGGCCTCTGAAATCACTTTGTGGATCACAGGTTTAGGCTTTGAAACTCATCTCACTACTAATATTGACTCATTACCTACTACTAAATGTTGTTCATGGAAGAAGGTCGATGCACAACTATCTAGTATTATTAAATCCACCATTCATTCTTCTTTCAAATTGATCTTCCTCCTGTACAACACTTGTAAATCGATTTAGAGTGAGGCACATGCGTTGTACACCAATGTTATGCAATGCTTATATGAAGTATGTAAAGACTTGATAACATTGGTGGAACCGTAATGACCTGAAGGCACTAAGTCTACATACATTAGGCAGATACATGCAATTCTCCATGCATTCAATAATCTTCTTCCACATGTTGTCTCTAAACCCACTAAAGCTAAACAGGAGTTAGAGAACCATAGCACGTTCTTCATGACTTTGGTGCCTTATGGATTGCCATCTAAGTACTTGAGTATAAGAGACCAAATCCTCGGGTCTCTGGATACCCCCAATGATGACATCTGCAACATTTTCACTCTTTAGGGTTCTCTCCAAGTTAGTAGTTGAAGCCTTGCCTTCTACAAGAGATACCTATACTACACTACAAGAAAATTACATATTAGCGAGGGACTATTCCCTCGCTATTTCGTCTCTGATCCCTCGCTAATCAAATTTGCGACGGAATAGTGATGAAATTGCGAGAGACCATTCCCTCGCCAAATACAGGTAGCTAATTAGCGAGGGATTTAATCCGTCGCCAATCCCTCGCAAAATCCGTCGCCAATCCCTCGCTAAGGTCCTCGCTAATTATATTAAGGATGCTTACTATTTGCTCGCTAATTTGCGGTCAAGCTTCCTTGCTATTCCCTCGCTAAGGGGTCGCAAAATATCCCTCTCTAATTTGTAGCTAATCCCTCGCTAATGTTCCCTCACAAACCCCTCTCTATTCCCTTGCTACATTTCTTGGCTAAGGCCTTGCAATTCCCTTGCTGAATATCCCTCGCAGATCCTTCTCTATTCCCTAGCAATATTTCCCTAGCAATTGTCTCGCTATTCCCTCGCAATATTTCCCTAGCAATTGTCTCTCTATTTCCTCGCAATATTTCCCTAGCAATTGTCTCGCTATTCCCTCGCAAGATTTTCCTAGCAATTTTCTCGCTATTCCCTCGCAATATTTCCCTAGCAATTTTCTCGCTATTCCCTCGCAATATTTCCCTAGCAATTGTCTCGCTATTCCTTCGCTATATTTTCCTAGCTATTTGCTCTTTTTTCCCTCGCTATTTTGTCTTTCACATGATATGCCTCGCTATTTCCTAGCAGATCCCTTACTATTATGTTTTGGTTATCATCGCTAATCCCTCACTATTTTGTCGCAATTTTATTTTTAATATTCATATATTCATCTTTACCTGCATTTTTCATACTATAACTATCATAATTATTTTGTTTTGATATCAAGATTGTAGTACCTATATTTTGCATATCAAATATATTATTGTGTCATCAACTGGCATCAAATAAAATAAAAATACTAAAGGCTAACTAAAACAATTCTGAATTACCAACATAATAAAAATATTCAGTACCAACTAACATAATAAATTTAAATAATTTTTATCTTTATAAATAAATTTAATTTAAATTATAAATAAAAATAACAACAAACTAAATAGAAATAATACTAATAAAAATATACAAAAAGATATACTATTAAAATTCTAATATGGTATTATTTTAAATTTCAAAATAATATTAAAAAAGATAAATATAAGAAAAGAAATTATACACAGTAATAAGTTGTTATTTTAGTTTTAAAAATAATAAAATACTTATATTTGAAAAAAATTATACACAATAATAAGTTGTTATTTTAGTTTGAAAAATAATAAAATACTTGTATTTGAAAAAAATAAAAAATAAAAAATGAAGTGAAATATTTACTCTATGCAATCCGTTTTGTTTTAAATCTCATGTATTTATTACTTTTACATCTTATAATATTAATATTGCTTTTTAATTTGAATAATTTTAAATAAAAAATTAAATTAAGTTGATTAAAATTTTTATAATTCAAACTACTGAAACGAATATTACTTAATATTATACGCGTTTTATATTTTTTTTTAGAGAAAAAGTAAGTGTATTTTTTTCTTTACACAATCATGCAATATTTATTAATTATAGAAAATACATTAGTAGTAAAATAAATACTTTAAAAAGTAGTATTTCTTTTCATAACATTATAATAAAATTTTCATTTAAGATTTATTTATATATGATATAAATGTACTAAAAATACAATTATATAAAAATAAAATAATATTTGGAACAAAAAACTTATAAAAACGAAAAGTATTATAGCATACTGATGTGGCGAGAGAGAAGAAAATAGAAATTTGCGAGGGATTAGCGACAACACTTTTCCCTCACTAATTTGCGAAGGATTTGCGAGGGATTTGCGAGGGATATACTTATAACTCATTAGCGAGGGATTTGCGACAAGAAAAATCCCTCGCTAGATGAAAAATTCATTTTTTTATTTTGGGTCATAATTTGGAGAGGAATTTGCTAGGAATTTGTGAGGAACTCAGTTCTTCGCTAAATAAGCACTAACTTTAGCGGAGGATTTGCAAGGAAATAAAGGTTGATCGCAAAATGTTTCCTATTTAGCGAGGGAATTTAGCGAGGGATATAAATCCAAGCTATTTGCTTGCTAATTAGCGAGGGATTAGCGACAACACTTTTCCCTCACTAATTTGCGAAGGATTTGCGAGGGATTTGCGAGGGATATACTTATAACTCATTAGCGAGGGATTTGCGACAAGAAAAATCCCTCGCTAGATGAAAAATTCATTTTTTTATTTTGGGTCATAATTTGGAGAGGAATTTGCTAGGAATTTGTGAGGAACTCAGTTCTTCGCTAAATAAGCACTAACTTTAGCGGAGGATTTGCAAGGAAATAAAGGTTGATCGCAAAATGTTTCCTATTTAGCGAGGGAATTTAGCGAGGGATATAAATCCAAGCTATTTGCTTGCTAATTAGCGAGGGATTAGCGACAACACTTTTCCCTCACTAATTTGCGAAGGATTTGCGAGGGATTTGCGAGGGATATACTTATAACTCATTAGCGAGGGATTTGCGACAAGAAAAATCCCTCGCTAGATGAAAAATTCATTTTTTTATTTTGGGTCATAATTTGGAGAGGGGTTTGCTAGGAATTTGCGAGGACCTCAGTTCTTCGCTAAATAAACACTAACTTTAGCGGAGGATTTGTGAGGAAATAAAAGTTGGTCGCAAAATGTTCCTATTTAGCGAGGGATATAAATCCAAGCTATTCCCTCGTTAATTAGCGAGCAACTAGCTTGGGTTTATATCCCTTGCTAAATTCCCTCGCTAATCCGCAAAATTCTTGTAGTGCTATAGCCTTTCACAACAATAACTCTAGTTGCTTGCACACAAGACCTTCTAGCTTAAGGGACGTCATAAATGTGACCATTGTCATCATATTGGCAACACCATTGATTATTGTTGGAAATTACATGGCAAGCCCCCCTTCCTAGTAATGTAGCACATGCACCTACCTCTGATTCTCAATCACAAAATCAAGCTCATGCTACACCAGCTTCCCATAAGGACTTTCTCTAGTGGTTTGAGAGTCACTAGACCCTAGACGTTACTACCTTAGTTACACAATTTGGTAAATCCATTACTTCAGTCTTCTAATCCCCGTCCTTGGGTCCTTGGGCACTTGACTCAAAGGCATCTGATCATATTTTTGGTAATCATTTTCTTTTCTCTTCTTTAACTACATCTGGGTATTTTCCCACCATTACTTTTGCTAATGGATCTTAAACCCAATCCAAAGGCAT